CGCAAGCTGCGTCACTCGCGCGTCACTCGGGCATGCTGTGCAGGTCGGTCCACATGCGGTCGACGTCAAAACCCTCCCAGGCCTCGTGCATGCCCTTGATGCGCCTGGGGGCAGGATCGGGCGGCGAGGAACGGGGGCACCGGCCGTCGGCAGAGGTGGGCGTTACCGTTGCAGTTGCGCGCGGACGGGTGCTCACGCGAGCGAGTCGGGCGGCGTCTGCAGACGCTCAGCGACCCGGCGCCGTGGATCGGCGTGAGACGGCTCGTTGTCCGCCCCTTCAAGCAGGGTGCGCAGCTTGGGCGCAAGGCCGGGGCGCGCGGGGCGGGGCGCGCGCAGCCCCCTCATGCGCGCACCTGTTGACGCGCCAGACCGCGCTGTTGCACTTGAAGCCGCTGCCAAAGCCCATCTGCCACACCTTCTCGCCCTTGTTCAGGCCCTTGTACGACTCGATGTAGGCCAGGACGTACCTGGGGCAAGTTTTGATACCATCCAGGTTGAGTTTGCATGAATCAGTTTGCTTGTCACCGTCTCGCATGCAATGACGAAGAAGCATGCGGGGGCGATGCCCCCGGCCTCCAACCCCCACCCACCCGCGCGCTGCGCCTGCGCTGCCGCGGGCGCTCTTACCAGATGCTGCTGCTGCTGATGTTCCCGAAGCGGTACAGGCCCGCCCTCGAGGGCTCCACCAGGTCGCGGCTGAGGCCGAGCTGGCTCTCGATCGCGTCCACCACCGCACGCCCGCCTGGGGGGCGGCGGCAAAGGGGGCGGGCGAGGGGGGCGGCGACGGTCTGTTGCCAGACGCTTGATGGTGACAATTTCGGTCGTGAATGCCGCGCGCTGCGCCCCAGGTGGCAGCAAGACGTCAACCTCAACATATCCCTGGCATGCGGCAACGCTGGGACTCAGCCATGTGGCTGACTCGTGGCCCCGTCGGGTTGGCCCCAAGGCAGGCGTGGCTTGAGCGGGACCCACCCGTGTGTATGCAGATGTGGTCAAAGGCGAGGCCAAAGTCGGGCATGTATGACTTGAGCTTCTTGTAGCCAAACAGCTGAAGGGAAGGTTTGTAGGGTGGGTGGGCAGGAGGCAGCCGGTTTGCTCAGTGCTGATGCCAGCACTCGGAAGGGCGAGAGAAACCGCAGCAAGAGCTGGGTGATGGGTAGTGCAGCTGTTACCCCTGGTTCTGACACACCGCTGGCTGCGGCGCCCGCTCCACCCGCGCGGCCCTCCGGGGCCCGCGGCCCCGCATCATGGGCGGCTGACGCCCGCCCGGCGCACCTTGCGCGCGGCGAGGTTGGCCGCAAAGAGCAGCTGCTCGCTGATGGGCAGCACCAGCGGCCCTAGCGTGGTGATGTTGGCTTTGAGGGCCTCGCCTTTGGGGGGAAGCGGGGATGTACGGCAGGAGCACGGCGGACGCCGGAGCAATTCAGCATTGCGTGCTGCCACCCCGACCCGATTAGAGTCATCAAGCGAGCCTTGATCTGCGCTTAATGCGTGTGCATGCACAAGGGGTCAATGCCCGCATGCTCATGCGCACCCCACCACACACGCTGCCGCTCAAAACATGCGCATGCACGCACATGCAGCCCTGCAGCTTTTGCCCCAGTCACCCGCCCTGACCCTGGCATGTGCAGTAATCATGTACCACCCTCCCCCCCCACTGACCGGCAATGGCCATGAGGTCCTTGCTGAGCCTGACGCCCCTGTGGCCCTCCTCGTCCTCGGTCTCGTACACGCAGTTGAAGGCCGCGTCGTTGGAGGCCAGGTTGGTGCGCAGCACATGGTCGAGGCGGTACTTGGAGCGGCTGAAACGAGGGGTTGGTTGCGGGTGGGAGCGAGGTTTGTGGAGGGTGGTCACAACTGAGATGCGGGCGCATCACCATAAAATCTGCTAATAGCGGCGAGTGCAACTAGTTTGCAAGCTGCATGCTTGGGGTACACGATGATGTCAGAAGGGTGCGACGGGACTGGGGTTGGTGTGTCCGTAAGCGTGCCGAGGCCTGAGTGGTGGGCGCGGGGTGCTGCTCACCGGCTCTCCTTGCGCTTGTTGGTGAGCAGCATGGCGGCGCCGCCAACGCGGAAGATGGTGTTGGGGATGAGCATCGACTTCTTGTTGCCAAAATAGCTGCGGAGCGGTGGGTGAGGAGCAAAGGGCGCGGGAAGGAATGCGCAAAGGTGAACAGGCGTGCAGCGCACAGCGCAAGGGCATGCTTCAGCGGCCAACCAACGCAGAAGCTGCAGGGCAGTTGCGCATGACGAGCTGTGGTGTGTGTGAAGATGGACGCTGTCAAGCCCCTTGAGCCTCAAGGCATGCTCCTTGCATGGGTGTCATGACACCAAGCAAGGAATCAGGCTCACCGGTTCTGTGTGATGTTCTCGGTGGACACTACGAGAGCGTACGTGTCCGCGTACAGCTGCAGCATCTGCCGTGCCATGTCCACCGCCACCACGCTCGCTGCAGGTGAGGTCAAGTGGGGATTGCGAATGGGCTTGGTTGATTGGATCCTGCCGTGGCAGGATCTGCAAGGGCACATCTCAGGTTACCTGGCACCTTGACCTTTGGCATGCAACGGGCCTGATCTTCTTGCATGCCGTGCAACCCCGCATTGTCCTTGGGCATGTGAGGCAGGAAACTGCGCCATATCAGAGTGTCGCGACCCACCAGAGCAGCCCATGCCGCTGAGGTTGTAGTTGATGGTGTCTGACCCCATCTTGAAGTGGTTCATGATGGTGGCGCTCAGGGAGGGCGTGGGGTTGAACAGGGAGCAGTTGACGATGACCACCTTGATCTGGCGGGGGGTGATGCCCGTCTTGTTCAGCAGGTCGCGCACGGCCGTGAAGCACACCTGCGCGGGGAGATGAGAGAGGGGTGGTGCGAACGAGGTGCGGTGGTTTTCAGAGGCAGGGGCGGCGGCTGGTTGTGTGCAGCTGCAATGGGCAAGGAGATATGGAAGAGAGTGGCGCGGGGGACATCTGCGTGCCTGCTTTCCGGCTTGCCTGCACCTAGCACGCACGCGCCATGGAATCATTTCGAGGGGGGAAGGGGGGCCGTACCTGCTCAAACTCCCAGCGCGCATGGGCCATGGTGGGCACAGGGTTGGCCAGGTCGGCCATGCCTGCAGGTGGAAAGCAAGGGGAAAGCGGTCCTCATGATACTCTGGGCAGCAGGTACTCAACCTGAGAGCCCCGGGGGCTCAGCGAACTCGGTCCATTCAAGCCGCTCCGTACGCTGCCACCCATGGCGGCCGACAGACTATGCTGTGAGGGGCTTCTGCAGCCGCAGTCTGCTGCGCCACGCTGAGCGCGCTCCGGCAGGCAGTGCTCACAGGGCGGCAGGTAGGTGTCGTCCCCCAGCCCGCTGCGCGCCAGAACCTTCGTCTGAAAATCCACTGTGGAGTCTGTGAACATCTGCGCGCGGCAACCAGGGGCGGACGCAGGTGCTTGGGTGAGAGGTGGTTTGAAGGGACATAGGGCATCTTCAAGGCACCTCACTAGGTCCCTAAACGCCAGATGATGGAAGAGTTTGCATGCTGCTTGGCCCTGAGCCTGAGGCACCTGCTGCTGCTTCCGCTGGTGCTGGTGTTGGTGGTCATGGTGCTGCTTTTGCCAGCACCGCTGCCATTGTATAACAGACGCATGCGCTGGAGCAAGTGTCGGCTGTCGAGTGCGCTCGAGCAGGGTGTTGAAGATGGACGCCCGCCCGCCCGCGACTGCTCGTACACACAGCAAAGCTGCTCGTCGCGGCTCGCTAGCCCTGGCGCAGACGCAGCCAACTGCGCCAACCGCTGCTCACCCTCGTCTCCAGCTCGCCGTCGGGGCCCTTGACCATGAGGGAGCGCGCCATCTCAACAGCGTAGGGCTTGCTCCACTTCCAGCTGCATCGGGAGCAAGGCAGGCCGGGCGGGCGGCGCGCGTGGGCCCACTCTGATGCAGGACGCTGGATCAAAACAGTGGCGCCCCGGCTGGTTGAGGCAGGTTCTGCAAGCGCTGCGGCCCAGCCCGCTTGCGACAACACGGTGGCTTCCTATAGGAGTGCTCGTTCCGAACACGCACGATACCCACGCATACTTGCATGCGTTCAAGTGTGCTCGCATGCAGTCACAAATATGCATGCGCACACACATGCATGTGTATGGACTCTGTGTGCATGGACCTGCGGGTGGCCAAGTGCCGATGCATGATGCATGCATGGACGTCTGGGCACATGCACCCACTGGCAAGCTGACTGGCAAACACCCCCAAACACGCACACGCATGCACATGCATGCACATTCGTGCCTGCGCGGCGCACCTGTCCGGAGGCTTGTAAATGGCAAAGTCAAGCAGGTAGACTGTGCGGCTGGCACTCATCAGAAGCGCCGCCAGTGCCGCCAGCAGCACGCTCACGCACGCCACCAGCGTCACCTAGGCGAAGTGCGCAGCCGGGTGGGACGCTGGATCGGCCGTTGACAGGGCGGACGAGCATGTGGGGATCTATGGAGCTGGGCAGCCCAGCCGTGGTGGCCAGGTACGCAGCCGCAGGTATGCACATCCAGCTGTGCAACCAGAGAACGACAAATGCTTAAGCCGTGACGCGCCGTCCAACTCGCCGCTGCCGCGTGCGGGCCCCCGTGCGCCACCTGCTTGTCATCTCCCCTCAACGCGCCATTTGCCCCCACCATGTTGACTGTGACATCTCCATCAATCACGCTGTCCCACAGCCTGTGCAGCTCCCCCGCATGCCAAAGGTTGACCAGCTCCAGCTGTGATGAAAACGCATGAGCGGGAAGGAACGGGGAGGCGGCGCGGCCGTCAGCGGGGTGGTCCCAAGCAACCCGCAGCTCGCCCCGGTCATCGCCCGGGGAGGATCGCGCTCTCGCTGTTGGACGTTGCCGCCTGTCCTATTGCAGGCGGTGCCGCATCCAGGTCGGTCCGCGGGCGCCAGGGGCACCACCCCACCATTTCCTCTGCGTGGCGTTCTCTCACCCCGAAGGAGGCAGCAACAGGCAGCAGCAGCGCTGGGAACGCCCATTGGCACGCCAGCGTGTACCCTCGCTTGATGTGTTTGGCTGCGATACCCCGAGTGTAGTCTGCGCACACGTGAACGGCGGCGTTGGTGCACACCAGGGTCGGTTGGCCGGTGCAGTAGGTTGGCAGTGCGCCGTTGCATGTCTTTGTGCTCGTGGGGCCGGCTTGGCGCCAGGGTCAGCCTGGCTGAAGTGCAGAGTCGGTGATCACATAAAAATAATTATTACTTTGCGAACGCACCCGGATACGCCCCTTGAGCCCCAGCCGTTGCAGGGGCGCTCGGTTGCATCCTGCCTTGACGCCGTCCCGCTGTCCCGTGTGGCCGACCGGCGCCGCGGTATCTACTTGACGGCAAAATCACTACGAGAGACAGCCAAGTTGGTGCGTCCCCGCCCGTTGGCGCACGTCGGGGCTGATCAAAACGGAAATGCTGCAGACCCGCGGCTCCCTGTCTAAACTGGTGTCGGACAGTATAAACGAGTCATATAAGCTGGATCACATCGCTAATCAACCACGGCGAGGCCTCTGGAGCCCGCTGGTGCGGCGCTTTCATCTACTGCTACAGCTGCTTCGTTTCCCGGTGCCGAGACTTGAAGAATGGAGCGTAGGGCCCCCGCCTGCAACTGCAGCACTTTTTGCCATTCAATACATCTACAGCCATATGCATCAATCGCTGCAATATGGGTGCTCTGTCCAGCCGCGCATTGTTGACCGGTGACTTGTGTAAGCAACTCAAAAATGTGCGCATGCATCGCCGCCCCCCTGCGGCGGCAGAACAGCCTTGGCTGACCCACTTTAAAGAACAAAATTATGATAGAGGTTCAGAATCATGCACTGTTCCTTGATGTTCGGAATAAACTGCGCAAAACGCAGACGGTTGACTCCACTTTCCGCAGGCTTGCAATTGCAGCTTGAGGGCGCTGATGGTGCGGTCTTTGTTGGGTGCAGCACAAAGGGCATGTGGCAGCTTTTTGCAACTCCTTAATGCTAAGGAAGTGCTCTCGGCAATTCAGGGAATTGCGAACTAAATAATGAAGTGCAACTGAGAGAAGAGGAGTTGCAAGCCTTGCCGCGGCAGGCAGCACTAGGGGCCTCTGACGGGATCGTTCATATAGAAACTCAACGCACCAGGCTAGGTTCGGCCACCTGATCTGGGCACTAAAGAGGTTCTTTGACTTACACGCATAGCCGGCCCCACCCATGCCTCACTCCTGTCACAATGTCATGTGGCGCTGCCCCCAACAATGACCCTTACTGTTGTCCCACAGGCTTGGCCTCAACCGCCCAGAAGATGCTGCGTGTGGGGCGCATGGCCACCAGCTGGAAGCCAGCCGCAGACAGCAGCGCCTCCCACTCTTTCTTGGTGCGTTCCTTGCCGTGGCACCTGTGGGGTATACCATGAGGTGGTGGGTCCTCAGGGTGGGTGTGGCTGCATGTGTGATGACTGTTGAGGGCCTTGATTTGTGGGGCAACACAAGCTGGCCAGAAGCAGCACCGGCCTGGGTCACATTTCCGACAATAGCATTGGCAACCAGGAATTTTATTCTGGGGCAAATGTCAGTGGCTGGCACGGCAAGAAAGACAGCCTCAAGGGGGGGGATCTGACCGCACTCACATGGCCATCATGTGCATGTCCTGTAGAAAGCGGTCACGATCATTTCGGGAGAGGGGGGCATGAGTGACAAGTTGTTGCATGATCATGATGACAAGTGTCCAATGCCTCGCACGTACTGCACCCTAGCGCCCAGGCAAGCATATTTGCATGACACATGCGCTGGGCCCCGCTGACTGGCAGGGGTGTGCGGCGCACCATGTGGTAGCGGGCGAAGCCCATGGGGTCCCCCATGTCGTCCAGCAGTGACATCTCCAGGAGCACCAGGGCCGCGCCACTGGACCCGATGGCGGAGCGCAGGGCCTGTGCGCGGTGGGGAAGGAGTCGGGGCGAGGATTGTGCAGGTACAGTATGTTTGTGGGCGGCCCAAGGGGTGGGTGCGTCGCGCCTTGCTGAAGGGGCACAGGCGTGCTGCTGCCAACGGCCGCGGGCCTCTCACGCAATGACGCTTGAGACCTCTGGAAGCTTTTGCTCTCAGCCTTCAGCCCGTTCTGAGCGGGCGGAATGAAGGGGGCCGAGCACAGATGTCACCCATGCAGTCTGAAACAAAACTTACATCACCTCCACACCCTCTCTCCCTCCCCCTCCCCACTCTGGAGGTGATGACATTACCTTAAGGATGGTGAGGCTGTCCTCGTCAGACCAGTCGTGCAGCACGTTGCGCAGTACAAACGCGTCGCCCACCTTGCCCTGGGGTAGAGATGATGCTGCGAGACGGAGGCGTCCATGTGCACGCGAGGAGTGAGCATGAAAGCGGTGTGAAGGTCCCTGCCGCTGTCGTTGTGCGCCGGTGTGTGTTGCATACGCAAAATTTTTGAGATAAGACGACTTTGAACCGAGCTTTTGCCCCTTGCGCACCGTCAAAAAATGAGCCCCCAACGAACTCGATGCGCTCTGCGGGCACCGCCAGGGTGGTGGTCATGGTGGCTGGTCCAGCCCTCCTCAGCTGCAGTGACCACATGCGGCTGATCAAACAGCACGCCTGCAAAGGGTGACGGTGGTGCATGTATTTCGAGCTACGCGATGTTGAACAGCTTGCTTGCGCAGTGCCAGCCCCACGCGGCTAGGTGTCACAAATCAAGCAAGCCGCCTCACAGGTATTCGACCACCCCCCTGCCGAGTCTCTGAACGTGCATGCGCCCATCCATCGTGTTGTGCAGACACAGCGGTTTCCACCACCGCCTCATAGTGATGAGTTGCCCACCATGGGCCTTGGGGTTGTGCGCGAGCAGGGCGTTGAGCACTGATCCAAATGCGCCTCCAACGTCTACGAAGCGATCAAAGCGCGTCCAGTTAAAGTCCGCTATGAGGGCAGCCAGTCCAAGTCCGTCGATGGACTGCATCCCGGCGCTGAAGTCTTCCTGGTTCTTGGGGCGCTCCTGCGTTGGGCGATTGAGTGGGTGTCAAGGAGACAAAGTAAGGTGAAATCTCGGAGACTGCAGGCAGCTAAAACACATGGCTGTTCCTATTTACCTATTCTGCAACGCCCAGGCGACCATCTGCCAACAATTCTGGCTGGGGATGAGCCACGACAGCAGGTCAGCAATGCATGAACGTGTGTTTCTCACAGCAAGCAAGGTACTCCCAGAGGTGCTGCCCATTGTTGGATTTCGGAAAGTTGTGCTTGCCATCAATCACGGTCTCCCCCAGGGTGCCTATGGTGTATGTAGGCAGGGGACGAGCATGTTTCTTAGCCAAGGCAACCATCTCATTGACCACCTTGCAATGGTGGAGCAGGCACGCACAGCTGCAACGCAACGGACTTACCAGCTGCAGCGCAATAGTGCAAGGCTGCTCAGTGCAAGCTTCAGGCGTTGACAAAGGCTGTTAGTCCCATCTGTTGCCGGCTCCCCCCCACCCAAAGCTCTGAAGCAGTCGGTGGCGAAGTGGCGCACAAACCCGCGCATGGACGAGGGGTGGCTGGTGGTGAGGTGCTCGCTCAGGGTGTTGTTGCTGAACAGCAGCTCCCCTTTCTTGCAATCAGCTGCACGCGGGGGAGATGATTGGATAAGACAATAGGATGATTTTTTGAAGTGCAGCAATACTGACAGGAGCCAACCAGGGCAAATGATTAGGGCGGGCATTGCAGACTGCTGGTTCTCGGGCCTGAGCAGCCGCTGCCGCCGGCCGCGGCAGAAATGCCCCTGCTCGCACCGCTGAGCAGGCCGCCGGCCACAGCGGCGCGCAGCAGGCGCAGTGTGAAGTCCGGGTTGGAGCCGGCCTCCTCTGCAACCTGGGCTGCTGTCCTGGGGCCGGCGGCCAGCTTGTCGGGGATGTCCAGCTGCGCCATGATCTCCATGATCTGGGGCACGCGGTTTGTTTGTGTGCGAGTGGTTGTGCTTGTGTGAGTGTGCGTGTGTGTGATATGATGTTTGACATGGGAGATGTGATTATCCTCAAAGAGTCTGCAGCAGCAACGTGCGTGTTGCGCAGCGGCAGTTCGCACGTACTCAGGGAGCGAGCACTGACCCAACAAAATAAAATGCCCTTTGGCGATTTTGAGGTTGAGAGCGAGCGGCTCCCTGCCTCACCCTACAAAGGCTTCTGCCCTCAAGTATCTTCATGATGAGGTTGGGCTTTGGGATAAGGGCGTGGCTGGCGGCCTCAAGCTGTTTGGGGCCGTGTTGTTGGGTTGTGCGGGAAGTTGTGCCCTCATCAGGAGGTAAACGCACGGTGGTGGCAGCAGGCGCACCCGGCGCTGCAATCGCGCTCTTTCTCATTTTCACAATCTCACCGCGGCGCTTGTGCGGTTGGTAGCAGTGAAGACGGCCCAAGGAGGGAGGGAAAGCATGGTTGATGCGGCCAACTGGTGAGGCAAAGTCGGTGAGTCGGACAGCCTGAGGCGGCCAGCGCTGTGCACGCAACGTAGTGTACGCGATTAAAACTTGCTTGATTAGTCAAAGCTGTCGCTGTATTGTATGTGCGTGTTGGTTTTGAGTATTTCCGGAAAGCAGCGGGTGTCGCTGCAACATTCACTGCTCGAATGGTATGACAAAGCAAACAAAAACATCACACACAAAAATTCTCAACAACAATTACAATACAGGCGCGGGTGCCGTCCCCGAGAATCTTTGCGTGTTCATCACCGGTTGCTCACTCCCTGCCTCCCCGCCGCCCAGCAGCTGCCACAGAGGGACCACTTGGGGCCTGGAGGTTGGTGCTGGAGAGCCCACGCATTGAAGATGCATGGCTGGCTTGCTTGCCAGCGTCAATCTATCATCTGTAAAGCCCCACGATTGCAACAGGCCGCTGGGCGCACCTCGCCTCGGGTTGCGGTCCGCACCCGATTTCGTGGTGCCCAATGGTATGGCCGGGCGCCCCAACATTGGCCTGGTGCCACCAGGCCAGTACAGGCCCATGTGCACATCAGCATGCAGCAGTGTTGACTGCGTGGGCTCTAAGTGTAAGGCGTGTGCCTCTGGCGGTCGCTGTGCGACGCAGTACAGTGATGAAGGCGGCAACGTGTCAGCCGCCCGTGTGACCGTCCAGACATCCACTTGCTGCTCGCTTATCTGCCTCGGTTACGAGCCTTCAAGACAACCGCATGTTCCTGTGGTCATAGCTCATACTGCATGGCAAGAACACGTACCCGATTGGCTAGAGCGTGGCGCTCTGTACCAGCCAGCTGGTTGGCTGCTGCCTGGTGACGTTGCCCCATAGCGTGGTTACGCCAGCGGCGCCAAGGCTCTGCGCTGTAGGTGCAACGCCTTTGCCCGACCTGCTGCCCAGTGGGCTGCTGCCTACGTAGCAGGTCTTCTGCCGCCTGCCAGCAGGCCCTGCGCTTTTTCTGTTCCCAGGCTTTCTGTTGGTTCGATGTCATGCACAGCGGCGTTCCTAGCAGAATCGGGTTACCATATCTAGATTGGCCCTCCAGTGGGGGTGATGTCTCTGCGGCGCGGCCACAGCTGTGGTAAGGCTGAGGAGCCGGCGAGTCAGCCGGTCAGTCAGACAGCAGTCAGCAGTTATGTCAGCCTACATTGTGAGCACTCACTGGGTCGCCGCTCGGAAAACTTTGAGTCGTTCAGCCCCATGGTGGCGGGCGCTCAAGGAAATGAGGTGCAGGCCTCGATGGACGAACGTGCACGAAGGGCATTGCGCTCCCGCTGATAACGCCTGTTCAGCAAACGCGACGCGACACAGCACCGGCAGGTGGGTGCTAGATTTGTGCTGCTGCCACACACGGGCCTCAAATAGTGGACGAGAAAGGCATGCAGGATCTCTTACAAGGGCGAAAGTCCAGTATTTGCGTGATCGTATCGCAAGCCCTTGGTGTGGTGATTGCAGATACCAAAGTCCTTTACAATTAAGTGCGCCATCTTCTATGTTCGTTCGCGCAACACAGGTGGTCACCAAGGTGACACCAACTGCAGGCACATGCTGATGAAGAAGAGGGGCCGATTGTTGCAGGTAGATCTCAGAGCTTATCGGGGCGTGATAGTGATATGATACAAGGGGTGTGTGGCTGCTGCTGACACAATGGTCAAGCAAGCGAACACAATTTGCATGGTTTCGCCAGCTGTTGCGCACAGCTGGTGAAATCATGCTGGATGCAAACATGCAGGCCACAGAGCCCCTTGTAGAACAGCAAAATGATGCAAGCGACTTCGGTCATCTCGCAGACTGCCACATGCAATAACACAGCGGCTTCCACGACCCCTGCATCGGCGCGAGCACCCCCAGCGCGAGACCGCTGCACGTACGCTTACCCTTTCGAGCCCCGATGAGCTAGGATGCAAGCCATGACAGAGCCAATGCGACGCGCATTTACAGTGGCCGCGTCGCAGATTGACGGCTGTATGTGCAGTGCTGCTGACCCAACAGCCCTGCCCTATCCCAAAAGGGCATCTGGCGTCACCTCGTAAAGAACTCTCCACAAACGCCCCCCCCCCCCCGCAGTGGCTGTACAGTAGAAGCGAAGCTGGGCGGCGAAGATGGCCCAATTTTGCTGACCAGCTTGATCAGGAGCGCCGGCTCGCACGCAGCCTGGAGGCGCGGCGGCAAACAGCGTCACTGCTTTGCGGCAACGCGGACAGGCTGGCCGCCATACGAAAGATTAGGCAGCACTGAACCGCGCTGCCACCAGATCACATAAGACAGATGCATGACGCCCGCCTGAACTTCAATATTGTGTGACAAGCTGGTGGCCAGGCTCAAAGGGTTTGAGGCCATGTCGGCTGGGTAATCGTGCGCGGCCATGTGCGGTGCATTACCGCAGGGCATGCAATCCCATAAACGTCGAAATTGTGCTTATCGCTGTAGTTTTCTCAGCTCGTGTGCCCTTTCATATAGCGCCTGCGTTGCAAACACCAGAATGTGCAGAGCTCCGCAATGATTACCCCCAGGTTTGCAGCCTGCAGGTTGGCAGCTCGCTTCCAGGCGTTGAGCAAGCCAGCCCTCCTTACCTTGTCATTTGCAAGTGTACGGCATACTGTACTTGAATCCAGCGGGTGCACTGCTGCATATTTTGACGACTCGATCACCAAGCCCCTGGCCTACGCCACCTGGCCTGTGGTCAAGAAGTTGCAAGGGTGGACTCAAGGGTGGTTGAATACCACCTGCTCACCTTCGATTGAACGACGGAAAAACAATCACAACTTTCATTTGAAATTGAGCTGCCAGAAGCTGCAGCACACCGACTGTGCCCGAACAACGAAGGGTGCCTGGCAGACAACACAGGCAGGTATTTCGCGAGGTGTAAGCTACGCGGTGAGCAATCGTCTTTCTGGATGCACGTAGTGATCGTGGAAAATTGGGTCGCGACCATCGGTGATGGCCGCTAGTGCCTGAAGGTGGCGAGCTCCGAGGCCCGTGTGGATTACACGTACGAACAGCACACCAATCATGCCGACGTGACACCCCATGTTCATAATGACTGCCCTTTCATGGCCAGGCCGGACAGACGCTGACAAGCTTGCCGTCATCTTCACCGTGGTCCTGGTGCACCGGGACCATCGACGCCGGCGCGTGTGGTGGGCGGCAAGAGGGCACGGCAGAGCTCCTGTTGCGCGATATTTGTTCAAGGGGGTGGGTGAACACATGCAACTCTGGATGGCTTGCGTGCGTGCGTCGCACACGCAGCACGTCAGCTGCATTTGAGCCATGCCCTGCTCCTGGCAGCAGCCAAGCAGGCCAGTTTCCTGTCGAGGCTCTCGCGTCTCCTCGGCCACACCCGTCTTGTAGACTGCTTCCAGAACACCTCGTTGTGCGCCTGCCGCAGGTATCTCCGAACCTCACTACTCCAACCTCCACGACTCTCTTCAAGATGACAACGGTGCACGCTGGCAACCGCCATCCCCGCCGTGGCGTCGCCCCTACTCGTGCCGGCATGCGCATCGCCACCGCCACGGCTGTGGCAGCCCTGCTCCTGGCTGTTGCACCCTCCCTTGGCTGTGGCGCGGCTGATGCCAGGGCGGGGGACGACTGGGCGGCACGGCAGGGCGGCGCAAAAGCAATGCTGGAGGGTGGCTCCCAGGGCGTGTTTCCCTCCCACCGCCGCTCTCTCCTAGGCCCAATTTCTGCATGTGTAGATCAGAGAGCTTGCTTGCAGGTAATTTTGCCATGTGGTGTAAGTGACTCTGGGGATTTGACGTAGATCCGCAGGCGCCACAGTATCCACCAAATTTCATGCTGCTGGCAACAACGTTTCTACCTCAGTGCTCGGAGGCGGCGCGGAGAGTCCGGGGCCTGTTTTTCATCCTTGCAACTGCGCCTGCAACGACTCTCCGACGGATGCACTGCAGGTCTACTATGCCGCCGGGCGATCAACCTGCGACTCCGCCGGCACCCGGAGAGTCTGCGTGTACTGGTCAAGTGGGGGAACCTGCGTAAAAGCCACCGGCGACACTGTCTCGTGAGTTGATTGGCGCTCTTGATGCGCGGGCAAATAGCCTGGGGGAGCATCACATGTGATGGATGATGATGAGATGCTGTGCGTCGTTTGAAAATAGGCAAGCATGCATGGCACAGCAGGCAGGGAGGGGTGTCGACTGCAAAGGACGGAGTGGCAGCACTCCCAGCTTTGATGGCGTTGTCGCTTAAACCCATTGTTTGTGATCGCTGTTGCGCTCCAACCCTACCTGGCAAGCTTACCCATTAATCGCACCCTCACAAGCCGCACACGCTGATGCACGCTCCAAACAGCCCCACCTCACGGTGTTGTTACTGGTGTCCCTCACACTGCCTGCAGCTACGCATGCGTCGCCCCTGGGGGTGCGCGCATCGCGCCGTGGGCCGGTGGCATTTCAAACAGCATCTGTCAGGATGTCACCGGAGGTCAGGCTGCAGAATTTGGCATCAAGGTGCGCTCGCTTGACAAACCCGCCCACTTGTGCCTGGCCGACCGTGCCCACATGTGTCTTCTTACAATCAATCCGCGGAGCAACCACGGGATTGTGAACTCGTGCAAAGTCAATCAAGACATTTGCTCAAATCCCCTTGTCACTGCTGAATACAGGACTCAAGTGGCGCTTGCGGTGTCATGACAACCATCATCGGTGGTTTCAGCGCTACCTGCGGTACCCCTGCTGGCACCTGGTGCCAGGGTACCGGCACGGTGAGGCAGCAGGCTACACTGCTCCTGTTTAATTCAAAGCCGGGTCTGCTGCATTGATGTTGGTGAATTCAGGGACTCCACTGATTGCAATCAGATATATCCAAACCTGGAGGCTCTCCAAATCAAGCAGCTAACACGCTGCTATTGTCAACTCGTCATCTCCCAGCAGGACTGTCTATGGACATTCGCAACGCCTGCGTGCCCCACCTGCCCGACAACATGTACCGCTGATGTTGGGACGTGCAGTGGTACCACGTGCAATTGCAACACGGGCTACGTCAAAAACGCATCGGGTGTTTGCGTGCCTGTCTGCAACGTCAACAACGGCGGCTGCGGCTCCACCACTGCTGCCACCTGCTCTGCGGGTGCGGATGGCACGGCCAATTGCACCTGCAACAGCGGCTACACCAAGGACCCGGCCACCGGCCTTTGTGCACCTTTGTGCAGCGTCAACAACGGCGGCTGCGGCTCTACCACTGCTGCCACCTGCTCTGTTGGTGCGGATGGCAACGCGAATTGCACCTGCAACAGCGGCTACACCAAGGACCCGGCCACCAGCCTTTGTGCACCTTTGTGCAGCGTCAACAACGGCGGCTGCGGGTCCACT